GCTAACGAAGCCTGGTAGAGGCTGTACTGGTCACCTGTCTCCACCTTAATGTGCTATCTTTTGAGAACAATAACCTTCTATTGTCTGTCGTTTCTTCACCTGAGAAAGAAAAGAGAGCACTCCAGACAACCTTAAACCCTCATGTGCTGAACATTTGGTGAGACGTATAGAGTATATTACACATTATCAAAAATCAGTTTCATCACACCCAGGGCTGAATGCAATTTTCCCTTTTCATTTTGACAAAATTTCCAATATTTTACCAAAATTTCATTATTTTGATAAAATGCAGTCAATCGGTAAGGCAACATTAAGGTGATTTAAAGTGATCCTGTCACGGCAAAGTCAAAAGCAATGCAGTATACTTCCCTTTACAGCTGTACAAATCTTAAAAATCTTCCATGTTCCTCCTCTCATGGCAGCTGGTGTGTCAAATACTTGATTCCCCCGCACTGTGGTGGTTCCTCTCACTGGCTTGTACATCACTTCTGGACCGTTTGCATCTAGCCTGCAAAGCTGCCTTATTGAAGTTACTGGACCCTTTAAATCGTCATTAGGGATAGGTAAAGTGATTATGGCCAAATGATCAATTTCGCTATTGGTGCAGTTTCACTGCAGATCTTCCAATAGGGACACCTGTTCCAATTATAGCTGCCTAAGAAAGGATAGCCCATTGCTTTAAAAAGATCTCCTCCTGTTTCCTGCCTTATCTCTGAGACAGAAAGTAAAGAGAAATCTTACCAAAAAAAATAGCTAAACATTTTTGGCTTCCCATATTCTTCCCGTACCCTCTCTTCAACTTTCCAGTGCTATGTTATAATTAAACCTTTATGTTTTCATTACATACCTATTTTAGACCCAGTGATCTAATCACTGGGTCTCTCTGCTTCTCTGTGCAATACAGGCAGATCATAGATGGAGGGAGGGGCTGGCAGGGTGTTGTACATAGCTTCCTGGCAACATCATCACTAATACAAGCAGTGGGCTGGCTCTTGGGAGGAGTTATGCAAATATCAAAATGCTTTGATGGCTGGGATGTTAGTTTGGAAGAGTACAGGTTCCTAGGCAGGCTGCATTTGCATTAAGACCTCCTCCCTGGGTAAGGCCTACATGTGATGCCAAGCCTTCATCGTTGAAAGAAAGGAAATGCAATGAATGGGCAAGCCAGGGACAGTTACAGCCCGGGGACAAAAGGGCTAGATCAAGCTTTCTCAACACTGGTGTGCCTCCTGGCTTCCTCAGGGGTACCTCAGAATTTTGTTGTAGTGGGACTGTGATGTGAAGGGGGAAAAAAGACTGGTGTGTAGGGGAACTCTGATTTGAAAGTGGGGCTACTGATGCAAAGAGTGTTTCTGATGTGAAGGGGGAATCTTGATTTGAAGGGGCACTTCAATGTAAAGGGGAATCCACTTTTTTGGGGTGTATTAGCATAGGGTCCGCCTTAAAATCTATGACATTTTAGATTTAGGGACCGGGTGCCTTGAGATTAGAGCTGCAGCTAACGATTATTTTCAAAATCGATTAGTTAGCCGATTATTAAGTTCGATTAATCGGTTAATCGGATAGCAAATAAAATACATTTTTAAAAATGGCTCCGGTGATGGGACTATAGTTTGTATTGAGATTGCAGTCCATCACAGGAGCAAGCTTGGTGCGGTGGAAGTAAAAAAGAAAAAAAAGAAAGTGTGGTGTGCAATATAATGAAATTAAAAATTATACAGCAATAAATGCAGAATGGCACCGGCTATAGAGGACTACAAAACCCAGCAATAGTACATTATACAGCGCAATGCAGAATACCGCCAGCTATAGAGGAATACAACAAATCCCAGCAATAGTACATTATAGCTGGTGGTATTCTGCATTGCGCTGTATAATGTACTATTGCTGGGTGTTGTAGTCCTCTAAAGCTGGTGGAATTCCGCATTGCGCTCTATAATGTACTATTGTTGGGTTTTGTAGTCCTCTATACAGCGCAATGCAGAATACCACCAGCTATATAGGAATACAACAAATCCCAGCAATACATTATACATACAGTGTATAATGTATTGCTGGGATTTGTAGTCCTCTATAGCTGATGGTACATTGGTCTGTATAATATACAGCACAATGTACCATCAACTATAGAGGAATACAAATCCCACTATCCCAGCCATAGATTATAGAGCACCATGTGGGGAAAGTGCAGGCTTACCTGAGCAGTCTTCCAGCAACCTGTTTCTGAGATGGGGCCTGTCTATCGGCGGCTGTCATCCGCCCACACCTGCTCCTCCTTACTTCTTCTCCCTGCGTCCCTGTGCCGACCGTGGATTTGGGCGGGCAGTGAGCGTGAGGCAGGGAGGAGGTGTGGCGTGTGGAGCATGGATGCGGGCGGGTCTGAGGTGGGGAGGAGGTGTGGCGTGCAGCGTGTGTGGAGCCGTGAACAGGGGCAACCAATCGGAAGCCGATTAATCGATGATTGAAATAGTTGACAACTTTTTCAATAATCGATTATAATCGATTATGTCGATTAGTTGTTGCAGCCCTACTTGAGATCATGCATTTTAAAGGGTACTTTGACTAAAAAGAGGTTGAGAATACTGGGTTAGATGATGCTGGATGAAACGAGGCGGGCTCTATCTTGCTCTGACTTGCTGCAAGCTTCTAATGCACATGGTGAGAAGCTCGCAGTGTGCAGTGAAATCAGAGGAAGCCATTTCAGTCTAGGAAAGGAGTTGGTTCAGCTGTGCAAGACTGAAGCGAAGGTGGGAGTCCAGCGCTAACAATCTCATACACTTTAGGGCCTATGTCAATGAACGTTTTGTTCACGGGTTTTGCATTCTATACAAGTCTATGGTAAGGCAAAACCAGCCTAAAGCAGGTCAAATGTTCGGAATGATCTCAGAAGCATCCTAAACTGATGTCATAGACACAAGCCCAAAGCTTGCCTACACAGGCCATAATTTTGCATGCCCCGTTGACTCCAATGCATTTTTCCAAAAAGACAACATTTTGTCAAAATTTTGGAGAAATTTACCAATGTCCCAAGTTGACCAGCGGCGGATACAGTTACACCTATAACTATACTAGAGGAGGATCAATATACAAAACCGTCTCCTCGCCCTTTCCCATAATCCTCTGTTAGAGCCGGATTCAGCGCTGAGCCAGCCGAGGTATACTCCTCCACAGATTAACAGAGAAAACGGTTCTATCTGGAATGTTTTTCCTCGGGCTCATCAGGAATTGCCCTGCTGATGTTGCAGCGAGCCGACATTTATAACACCAGTAATGACATGTTCGGTGAGAAGCTGCAATGCCGCCCAGATTGAGTGAGTAATATCTGTTTCCATACAGACGTAGCCAGCGGTCCGCTGAGAGAGCTTCTGCTCCGACTACGCCGCCGGCATACACAATTAGCAGCGAGGTCTGCCAGATGGCTGGATTGGGGAAAGCTTAAAGCCTGAGTCCACCTTTGTAGCATTTTTCTCTGAGACGTCCTCGCTCTGCTTTCTTCATATCATCATTTATATTTCATGACCTTTCTTGCGTGTTTCCACCCTATTTTTACAGCCTCCGCCCACTTTTTTATACGTTACCACCATATTTCTACATACAAGGTGCATAGCATAAAAAGCCGTTTCACTTCAGTTCAGCTCACTCCAACCTCACTGCTGAACTCCAGGCACATATAAAAATACCAATTAATGGAGTCATGGGTGCAGGGGTGTCCCTAGACTTTTTGCCGCATGAGGTTGGGGGGCTGGTGGTGGTGCACTCAGGGGGGGTGCTGGGGGTGGTGGTGGATGGGGGGAGGGGGATCCTTGTGGTTTACTGGGGATGGGGTGCTGTGGCTGCACATTACCTCTGGCTTCGACATCCCGCCCTGCTCATAGACATCACTTGTTGCCAGGAGCTGGGCAGAACACCGGCTAGAGCATCACTGAAAACTCTGGCCGAAAAGGGGGCAGCAGGCACAAGTGCCAGCGCCTCCTCCACATAAACCGAAGAGATGCTGCCTCAGGCTTACGCATTATAGGGATGGCCCTACATAGAAGAGAGACTGGGATCACTGGGAGCCAATCAGGTGAGCTGCCGACAAATATGGACAGAGAATAGGAGGATAGAGCAGAGGATGACCTCATCAGTCTGTTGATGTCGCTTCATTGGCCATCACTGGCAGGGGGTGACCAAGCTACGTTGCTGTAGCTGTAGTAGAGAGAAGCCAGGTCACCAGCCTGGCTGTGCTATCTGCTATGTGAACCCTTTCCATGAGTGCATGCATAAGAGGTGCTGGATCTCCAAAATTATAAGCCACCGTCTTATTTATTAAGATGAATTGTTTTGGTGAGGCAGCTGTGACCAAAAGCACCCCCAAAGAGAGGAGGGGGGGTCTTGAGAAAGATCCAAAGATATGTAAAACATAGCAAGGGGGCCACACCAATAGAGCCTGGAAGGATATTATATTAAATGATCAACAGTATAAAAGAGCCACCTCGTTTTGGGGTCCACACACTCCTGCTTGGACTTGGAGTGATTTGGAAATATGTATAGATCTCATATGTTGGCATGAGCATTAAGTGCCACATGGAGCTGGAGCTTCATGCGGCACTATCTGCTCATACTAACTGATTTGGGCATTGTTGAAGTCACATTATACTTAAGCCCTGATGAAGGGGTAACCCAAAACCAGTTGACTTTTTTTACATTGTTGATAAATCAATTAAATAGGCCTCTGGACTCTACTGTTGTTGAGCTTTTGCTATGTTTTACACATCTAGGTGGTGCACAGTTGTGCGAGGGGGGTGCACATAAGACAGTCTGCAGGTATAATTGTGCCTAAAACAGGAGCAAGCACTGGGGGCTGTTTGTCTAATACCTGCAATGCTTTTTACACTTCATATTCATAATGTATTGCTACAAGTGCTTTGATTTCCACAGTGCTGCATGTTCTGGGCCACTGATGGCACACGACGAGAAGGCCTTGCGCACAAGTGCTAACAATTTCTTCCGATTTTTAGCAGATAACACATGCAGTTTCGATGACGAGAAGCTGTGCGGGTTTGTGCAGGATAAGGCTGACACCTTCGACTGGATCCGCCAGAGTTTGAAGACGAAAGATCCCAAGAGGACCGTGAACACGGGGCCAGATAAGGACAACAGCGGCACTGAGGAAGGTACGGGCAATGTGGAACATCCGATAGGTTTAATCAGTGATGTACCGTCATCACATTAGGGCTGACAACCCTCCAGAAATGTATGGAGAGGCCGTGAAAGATGCAACCGTTTGAGGCTGTCTATAAAAATAAACGTCTGTAAAACATATTCATTCTATTTTAAGTGTAAGCCCAACATGCTGTTCTAGTCACTTTAATTTAAAGTGGACCCGTCATTAGAAATCTTGTCCCATGTTAGGTGCGTGCACGCTAAGTAAAGTGTAGGACATCCAGGTTTTTATTATCTCTCACAGAGATTACTGTACTCCTCCTGACAATGCCTTCATCTGCTTTTCTCTCCAGAGGGATGGAGCCATCTTTGTTCAGGCATCATTCAGGGTCACCATCACCCGGACTGAGATGCCGGCTCAGAGATGGCTTGCTACAAAGTTTTAATGTTGTATTTTGATCACTGTGGGAGGGGAGATTGGGGAAATGCTTCCTCCTGCTTGCAGCAGAATGATCACTAGGGGAGAGGAGACTGATAAAATGTTTCATGCTGCCTGCAGCAGACTGATGACATAATCTCAGCCTAGGCAAAGTCACTGCGAGAATCTCAATGATGTTTTTTTTAATAATAAAATCTGAAGCTTTCCTGAAAAATTATAATGTTGCTGTATATTGTGACATGCCAGAATTGTAAAGTTAGTGACAGGTCCTCTTTATCTGTTGTATAAGGATAGAATAATGTGCTCTTCCCATGATGAGTCACATAGTTGCAGTAAATGTTGCCAGCAGTATGTTGGAGCTTCCAGTCACTCAAAAAAAGTCCACTTACTGTGCCTCCACCCACGCACCATATGCCCATCTACTGCTATTTATGTTTCCATTTCATATTTTTGATACATATGTCAGAAGACCACAGCTGCCATATTCCACTGTCATGTGTGTCACAGGGAGGAGATACACAGATTCGCAGCTGGTGGGTGTGACGACATGGTGATCAGTTTATAATTTAAATGTGTATTGGTGTTGGGTTATGTTTGAGTGCGTTATGTTGTGTGACTTGGTTATGGAAAGACTATCAGCACCATCCCTCGTTATCTCCCATTGTACTCTGAGGGAGCTCAGAACAATGACATTCTGGCCAGGCTCCTACTATGGCTGTCTGGAGTTCGTTAGCAGGTGGACACCTGTGGTGTTGAGCAGACCGATGGTCTGGGAGGGGAGGGGGGATGTGATGGGATTATATTCTGATTTCATCACTTGCTGTATATAAGTTTGTGCAGTTGCTCAATAAATCAGAGTTTGTTTACCCTACACTCAAGCCTTGGCTAGTGACTGGGGAAACTGGGAGCTACAGATCAGCGGGTTCCAATATCTCCTCAGCAAGGAAGAAGACAGCGGCGGACATACTCATCCTGAGTACGGGGGTCCGTCACAGTGGGAAAGGAAGGGAAGAAAGGGTTTGGAGGAGGGAGAGATAGAGAGGAACGGGAGAGGGGTGTGGAGGAGGGAGAGATAGAGAGGAAGGGGAGAGGGGGTGTGGAGGAGAGAGAGATAGAGAGGAACGGGAGAGGGGGTGTGGAGGAGATGGGATGTGGAGGAGGGAGAGAGAGATGGGAGGGGGAGGAGGAAGAGAGGTGGGAGGGGGAGGAGGGGATATGGAGGAGGAAGAGATACCGTAGGAGAAATAAAGGAGAAGAAATATAGAAATAGAGTGACAGAGAACAGAGTAAGAGATAGAGAGGATGTAAGAGGACAGACAGACAGACAGACAGAACTGTGATTGGTGCAGGTAGCGCTCTGGCATTTGTCAAATATATTTGGTTAATATAAAATTCAGGAACTGAATTGCCTTCCAGATGCATATCAGACAGGCAAGGGCTCTCTTTATGGTTTTGGCCTGGGCCCCTATCCACAGCCCTGAGGACATGGTAACAAAAATGGGCAAAACAAGTCACAGAATATGGCGGTTACAAGATTAAAGGTGACAACACAGGTCCAAAACAGAATCCATTCCAGTCCCTAAACTCTTCCCCCACATATGGCGCTGGCTGCTGTGGAGAGTTCAGGTCCGTAGTTCTCCAGAATGGTGACAACATGGCTGAGATTTCATGCTGGGATCCCCAGAACTGGCCGGATCTCTACTCTCTGATATTCACACACACTCCAAATGGTGCTCAGGTTTTTGGAATCGCAGGCATCGGAGTGAGCCAACATCTGTGAACAACCATATGAGCCACGGCTGGCTGTTAGGGGATCATCGCTGTTTGGGCGAGGTCTATACAAGAGCCACTTTCCAATAAAAGTGCATCTATTCTAGACCCAAGAACATAAATTACAAGCAGTAGTAGTGATTCAACAGCCCCGGATTCGATTCACAAATCTTGCTTATGATTCGTCAAATTTTGCAGCAAACTCCATTGAAGTCTATGGGAGGTAGGATGTTGTTGTTTAACACGGACATTTGTAGCAAGCAAGCTATTGTCAATCAAAAAGCACGAGAAGGCGGGCACTGCCATGGGGGACATGTACCAATGGCAAAATCTTTTTTAATAATACTGTGCAGCAGGAAGAACGCTTTTTCATGCAACTTCGAGGGCGACAGTGGAAATGCACAAATCCTTTAAATTACAGGCTTGGGGCTCCAGATGTATGCGATCCTACAGAACAGGGTATCAATGGATATGTAGCCCACCACTGCAATCTACAGTATGGCACTGTATAGAACTGTATAGCAATGTGTAGCACTGTGTAGCACAGTATAGCACTCTAACCTACTCTATAGCACCAGTGGCGTCACAAGGGAGGTGCAGGGGATGCGGCCCACACCCGGGTGACACCATTGGAGGGGTGACACCAAAATGACTGACAGTTATCAATGAGATGACCCCGCATGCGCGATAACGTAATCGCGCATGCCCAATGTCGTCACAGCGGGGCGTCACCCAGTATCTGCTCCGGGTGACACCCGGCCTCGGGATGCCCCTGTATAGCACAGTATAGCACTGTATAGAACTGTATAGCAATGTATAGGAATGTGTAGCACAGTATAGCACTTTATCCTATTCAATAGCACAGTATGGAACTGTATAGCAATGTATAGCACAGTAAGCACAGTATAGAACTGTATAGAACTGTAGAACAATGTATAGCACTGTGTAGCAGAGTATAGCACTTTAACATACTCTAGGGCACAGTATAGAACTGTATAGCAATGTATAGCACAGTATAGCACTGCATAGCAGAGTATAGCACCGTATAGGACAGTATAGCACTGTATACCACACACTGACAATATGGATTCTGTAAGCCCAGCCTATTATAGTGAGGGGGCTGGGTTACCCATTCCTATTGACTCTTGCTCTACTCTACAGCTGGCCATTGGAAAAGGCTAAGCAGTTTTTTTAATGGGTTGTTCCTAATTCCTGGCTCCATTACATTACTTACTTATAGGCCAATAGTTGGGAATTTGTCCCAAACGTGCATTTCTGGGATCCACCTTTAACCCAAGTAGACCAGAACTTGAACCTCATTGCCAACAAGCAGCAGTAAATTAAATAAAATAAATAAAACTTTTTAGCAATAAAACTCCATCCTTGATCTCTAGTCAGTTGCTCCATCTAGTTCTGGAGAGAAAAGCAGATGAAGGCATTGTCTGGGGGAGTCATGTGATCTCTGAGAGAGGTAATAAATACCTGGAAGAGTTACAATGACACAATACTGAGCATGCATGGACTTCACATAAAATACCTGAAGACAGATCCACCATAATAGTCTCTCTGCATGAAAAACCTTATTTCTGTCTACCCCTCAGTTCCATTTGTAGAGGTGTGAAGACCTTCTGAACTTACCAGAGCTGCTTTCTTCCTCCAGGTTTCTTCATGTTCATCGAGGCGTCATCACCACGGAAAGCAGGGGACAAAGCGCGTCTACTCAGTCCCATGTACAACGTGACATCGGGCAAACAGAGGCCCAAAACACCATCTTATTGCATCTCCTTCTATTACCACATGTGGGGGAGGCATATAGGTGAGTCACCTATTTCTATAGAGCCAACTTATTTCGGCTAACTAATCGATTTTGAAAATAATCGTTAGCTGCAGCTCTATTCTATAGTGCTGTACACTGTTGTGTCTCAGGGACAGAACATTTGGAGAATCTTCCCAATTGGTCACAGAGAAAACTAACAAGAATTCCAAACATTCCCTAATTCCCTATCCTATCCCCCCCAAAAAAAATACGCTTGGGCTGGAGGTACTTTTTTTTACTTTCTGAATAATTTGTTTTGGATCAGTGAATCAGAAACTATTAAAGAAAGAGGTAAGGTTGGTAGCCAAGCAACTAGCATTTTTAAAAGGAGCAGCCCATGTGTAACAGATTTGCTTTAACCCTTTTGCTGCCATCGACGTAATTGTTACTGGCATTTAAACAAACTCACAGCCACTATAGCAGCCAGGAGATCGTTTACATTTTTCCTCCAGACTGCCGACGCTCATGTAGAAGTGATTGGGGTATCTGTAAGGTATGAACACTGTAGCACAGGTCTGAGCACCTTTGGGCTCATGGCTGGTAAACACCGCTCTCTCTGGGCAAGGAACTAGCTAATTAATCTCAGTGTGTGCTCAGTCAGCTTTAACAGAGCACAGAGAGGACATTAGGGGACATTCTAATAGACCTCTGACGTTTGGGGACATTCAAATAGACCTCTGATGTCTCATTTTAATAGACCTCTGATGTTTGGGGACATTCTAATAGACCTCTGATGTTTGGGGACATTCTAATAGATCTCTGATGGTCTCAGTCTAATAGACCTCTGATGTCTGGGGACATTCTAATAGACCTCTGAGGTCTCTTTCTCATAGACCTCTGGTGACTCATTCTAATAGACCTCGGATGACTCATTCTAATAGACCTCTGATGTCTGGGGACATTCTAATAGTCCTCTGATGTCTCTTTCTCATAGACCTCTGATGTCTCATTCTAATAGACCTCTGATGACTCATTCTAATAGACCTCTGATGACTCATTCCAGTAGACCTCTGATGTTCCCTTTAAGCCCAACTCCAGGGAAAGGAAAACTATTTCCTTGCAGTGGGGCTGCCCTGTACTGCAAGTGTTAACTGCTCATATATGTCTAGGGGACAGGAAAAAACTATTATACTTTCCTGATCCCCACTCACCCAACAGTCGACACTCTCCTCTTGGTGTCCTCACATACAATGCAGGGCTATGGAGCCTGCATTGTACAAGATGACCCCAGCAGTGCTTAGACTACCGGAGAGAAGGGGAGGAGAGGCTACAGCAACTGGACTAGCACCTGGCAGGAGCCGGGTTTCCGGTAAGTAAAATTGATTTTTCCTTTTCCATAGGCATAACTGAGCAGTTAGACATTATGACCATTATTAGGGTAAAATTATAGTTAAAGGGAGAAGGGGAAGAAGGAGCTAAATAGGGCTGATTGGGGTAAATAAAGGGTCATAAAGGGTTAAGTAGTAAAAGAAACAACTTTATTTTCCCTTTGTAGTCTGCTTTACCTGACACCATATGCAGATCAAAGCTCTTCCCTTTGATCTGCAGATGAATGACACGGGGGGGGGGGGG